TTTAAAACCAAAGTTCATAACAGTACCCCAAAGATAAACTTGGGGTTATTGGTTCCTTTTCCCAATGTGTTGATTAAACTTCTCCATCTGCTTTGTGCCATGACTCATCTCTTTAATTAATGTAATTTGAATGAGTTCTTGACAAGGCTTCCTAACTCCCTTATCTGGGCATCATCTGGGATCTCTCTCTGTATCCCCTGCACACTTCCTCTACCAACAAATCCCATTATAGGATCTTCTCAGTGTATTCAGGTACTGTGAAGGCAATATGAAGGCCTACACTTGACTTTACAGACTCATCTTAGGGAAGGGCCACCATCTTAGACCACCTGGTGAACGGGGACTGTACTCAGTTCTAGGAAGCATCTCAGGAATGTGCCATGACAACTTGAACAGATACCCTAGAAGCAGCCAATTAAGAAATAGGGCAGTAAAGTTTAACAAGATCCAGATGCTCCTGCAGACATTTTGTCTGCAGTTTATGGCCCTTGCAGATATCCAGATAATCCTGTCAGTAGGTTGTGGTTCTGTGCCAAAAGTCTAACCCAATAGTTTCAAATGTGGTTTCGTGCAGAAAGTCTAGACCAATAATTTCAAAAAATCACCTTGCCCCATATCCTTTTTGCCCAATCCCAAATGCCAAGGCAGGCAATTCCTGGCTTGTGTTTTTTTTTCTTTTAAAAACCCTCCTCCCCTTGAGCCCCTGGCTGCTGCCAAATTTCCCTCCATTTGCTGCATCGGAGCATAGGGTGGTGGTCCAGGTTTGAACCTGAAAATAAGAAGACCCTTGTGTGCTTCCATTGGAAACTGGCTCCTTGGTGGTCTTTGGGGGATTCTCGACATGGGCACAACATTACTCTACTCACGTGACTCTGATCCAAGATAGCCTCATCTCTCTCACATTTTGACAGTTGCTTGGACAGGGATATTGATTGCTGTGATATTAAAACATGAGAAATATGGCTTGAATGTTTTCGAACCTCTAAAATTCACACTAGGTCATAGTGCGTGAAAACCAGAGCTTTTGGAAAGGACTGGTCATGAGTGTCTCCCCTTTATGAATGGGATTATTGTTCTTATAAAAGGGCTAGAAGTAATCCCAGCACCAAGGAGCCCAAAGCAGAAGGATCATAAGTTGGAGATCAACCTGGGATACACAGCAAAATTTTGATTCAAAACAACGAGAAAGACAACACACTGGTTAGAACATGGTCATGCCCCCTTAAGACAGTAATCACTCCTAACAGTCCGGGTTCCACAGCCTTGAAGACAGGCCACACCCCCTGCAGCTCTCTCCTTGGAAGAGAGTTAAGAAGTTTGTAATTTACAGTCCGAAACAGTACCTGGCTCTTCTGTGCTCTGTCATGGATTCTCTATTGAACTAAATCATGTGATGTGAAACTTCCTGCTCTCTCAAAGGTTATAAAAAACGTTAGGTGTTTTCTTTGTTCCGTGGATTTTTCTGGAGGAGCTTTCCCCTCATCCCCAACCCTCAACACTCAAACCGCTCTTTCTCATGACGAGTCCCCATCTCTTATTCTTACCCATAATGAAGCTTCTCTCCAGGTTTTAAGAGCAAGTCTCTTCTCCCCTTTAAGGCTGTGATGTTTTATATGTAAAGTTGCTTGTTTCTAATGCTACTCTCGGCTTGCGACCCAATCATGGCCTCAAGGCCCTTTCTCCTAAAACACCTTATTCCTGAGGGTAATTATGAGTCAGTTTCCATTCACAAACCACACACACTCACATACTCACACACACACACACACACACACACACACACACACACACACACACACACACGCATACATGCTCGCATGCATGCACGCACGCATACATGTGCACACACACAAATAAAAGGGGGCTGGAGGCAACTACAGTGGCCCTTTTGCACTGCCTTCTACCTCACAGATACACATAATGATCCGCCCATGAGAAACAGACCCTCAGCCGACATTACCCTCAGCAGATATAGTATCTGAGGATGCTTTGATTCTGGATTTCCCAGGATCCAGAACTGTGAGAAAAAATTTCTATTGTTTCTAAATTACCCAGCCTTTTGTTATAATTTTGTTATAATAGTTATAATTGGTTTTTTGTTGTTATTATAATTATTTCAACAGCTTCCTTGCTGGCCTTCTTCTCAGCCTCCTTTTAACACGGCAGTCAAAATGTTCTCATGACCAGCGACGGTCACATCCGGTCCTGGTCCTGGCTCCTCCTCATTTCCGACTCCATCACCTACAGCCCTCATCTTCATTTTCTCCAGTGTAGTCCCATGGGTGTCTTCCCCCTTCCTCAACGCTCAGGTCACTCCCTCCAGACCTTTGCCGTTCTGAAGTCTGTGGTGATCTGGAATAATCTGTCTTCAGTTCTCTGTTTCCCCAGGTCTTTCCAGAGAAAGCTTCCTACAGTCTTGTGTCCTTTACAAGTGTCATAGTCGTTGTCTAGTCTTTGGTTTTTGTCTTTTCTTTCCCAGTCCTTATCATTATCTAGTATAATATTCATTTACTTACTCACCCATTTTTATAGAATACCTACTAGGGCTGGAGAGATGGCTCAGCAGTTAAGAGTGCTTGCTGGTCTTGCAGAGGACCAGAGCTCAGTTTCCAGCACCCATGTTGGATGGCTCACAAGCACTTGTAATTACAGCTCCAAGGGATCCAATGCCTTCTTTAGGCCTCCATAGGCACCTGCACTTATCCATACAGACTCAGACACAGATACACATACACATAATTAAAACCCTAAAATAAAATCCTAAAATATCGGCCTTCTAGGATAGAAGTTCCATGATAGTAGGAAACATTGTTCTCTTTTCTCTTGTATTCCCAGTCCCCAGTACAGGTCTAGAAACTTTCTCATATGATATAGATCAATTGCCATGAGTAATGAATTGACCTATTCCATAATCATAGACAAAGAAAAAGAGCTGAGAATTATTTAAAATATTGATCATCATAACCATTGAAAATGAGTATCTTGTTACAGTTCCTCATCCTATAGATCATAGACACAAGTGTGTATTAGTTACTCTTGATATCGATGTTATCAAATACCTGACAGGAAGCCACCTGAGGGAGGGAGGAAGATTTTTTTTGGTGTTGTGTGACAAGAATTTCCTGGAAAGACACAACACAACATCTGCTCACCCCAGGTAGGAAACCCATGACAGACCAAAGTACACATACCACCAAAGTCCAACCTGGTGAGCTAAAGAGTTTTATTGGGGTTACTTGTAGGAGTATGGGGGTGGTGGTTTGGATAGGTATGACCCCCATAGACTAATGTGTTTGGGTGCTTGGCCTATAGGGAGTGGCACTATTCGGAGATATGGCCTTGTTGGAGGAAGTGTGTCATTGTGGGTATGGACACTGAGGTCTCACATGCCCAGGCTATGCCCACTGTGGGGCACAATTCACTTCCCGTTGCCTGTAGTTCAAGATGTCGAAATCTCAGCTCCTTCTCCAGCACCATGTCTGCTTGCACATTGCCATGTCCCATCATTTCAATAATGGACTAAACCTCTGAAACTGTCAGTCAGCCCCAATTAAATATTTTCCTTTATAAAAGTTTCTGTGGTCATGGTGTCTCTTCTCAGCAACAGAAACTCTAAGACAATGGGGGAGGGGGTTGCCTAGAAAAACAAAAATGACCCAAAGATAGCTGTATTCCCAAAGCCCACCCCTAAAGGGGTGACAATTCACAAAAGCTGGGGAACACACTGCACAGTGTGCAGGCTGGAGTGTGTTCTTTCCAAGTGACTCTTGACATCTTCCAACTATCCAGGCTGGTTTCTGCTACTTCCCAGCACCTGGTCTGGTTTCAGGGTCTTCTTTGCAGCTTTTGCTCCTCTGAGACACTTCTTTTTAGCTTAGCTCTGCTCTTCTGAGAGGGACTCTCAGCTCTTATTGCTTACTTGGCAGGAAGGGGCCTAGTGAATCTGGTCAGTTTCAGGGACTTCCTAAAGCTATTTTGTTTACCTTCCTGCTTAAGAAGCTTCCTTGAAAGATGGGATGTTTCAGTATCGGAGAAAACTATTACACAATGTTTGGCTCATAGTTTGAGAGACCGGAAGTTCCCAGTGATAGGGAACACATGATGGCAGGGGATCATTCATGCTGCTAGGCCCCTACCTCTGCACATCTGTCAGAACAGAAAGCAGAAAGGACAGAAAACGGCTAGGCCATAAACCTCAAGACCTGGCTCCAAAGCACTACTTCTTCCAACTAGGCCTCACCTCTGAAGTTTCTATAATATCCTAAACCAGATGAGAATCAAATGTTCAAAGCCCATGGGAAACAATTTTACACTGAATCACAGCAAAATGTTTTTAATTTTGGTATCACTGAAGTCAACATCCCTATAACAGTCACTGAGGTCAGGCAGCTTTCACGATGAGGCAGTCATTGCCTTCATGTGTACGTCAAAAAGCATCAAATTGGGGCAGAGAGGTGGTTCAATGGTTAAGCGCACTGGCAGCTTTTCCAGAGGACCTGGTTATTCCCAGCAGCCATCTGGGGCTCACAGCTGTCTGTAACACCAGTTCCAGGGGGATCTGATGCCTTCTTCCCTTGGCAGGCACCAGGCATGCATGTGGTATACAGACATACGTGCAGACAAACACAGACAGTACACGTGCAATAGTAAACTAATTTTTAAAAAGTCAAATGCCCGGAGAAAATGTTCCAGAGACAAGAGTGCAACATTCTTTTAATTTAATTTAATTTAATGTGCATAGTGTTTTGCCTGCATGCTTGTCTGTGTACCACACGCATGCTGTGCCCTCAGAGGCCAGAGAGGGTGCTGGGATACCTGGGACTGGGGTTACAGACAGTTGTGAGTCCCATGTAGGTTGAACCCCGGTCCTCTGGAAGAGCATCAAGTGCTCTTAACTGCTGAGCCATCTCTCCAGCTCCTGGACCATGGTATTTTACATCAAGTTTTTTTTATTTTTATTTTTTTAAATAAGAAATGGGCAAAGCCAACTTTCTTTTCAGAAAAATATGGAACGCCTCATGAATTTACATGTTCTCCTTGTGCAGGGGCCATGCTAATTTTCCCATAGTTCCAATTTTAGTATATGTGCTGTCTAAGCAAGCCCTGGAACATTCTTTTAGAAACTATCTGGATTCCATTTTCTTTTTAAAATAGGGCCTCATGTATCCTAGGATGCCCTTGAACTTGTGATATAGCCAAGAATGACTTTGAATTCTTGATCTTTTTGTCCCCACTTCCTGGGTGCTGGAATTATAAGTGTGCTCCACACAGCTGATTTTACTCAATGATGGAAATCGAACCTAGGGCTTCTTGTATGTCAGGCAAGCACTCACCCAAGTAGGTTGGGCCAGTCTTGATTTAAAAACATGAAATTAATGACTATCAATGTAAAAAATCCTGAAAAATTGGATTCTAAATGTGAAAGAGCTTTGATTTGCTTACTTTTTTATATGCATATGTAAGCAATATAAAGTAGTATCTTTCCTAAAAATGTCTTTAAAAGCAATCTCAACAAATGTGAGATGAAAATCCAAGTGGTATGAAAGAACTCTGTCCCAGCTGGCAGCATGTCTGTCACCACAGGATGAAAAACAATGATGTCATATACTCAATGGCTTAGGGTTAATCAAATATGCTAATTCTCTTCTAAATATTCTTTTTGTTATAATTTATTTAATTTTATTTTATGTGCACTGGTGTGAAAGTGTCAGATCTCCTGGAGTTGTGAGCTGCCAGGTGGGTACTAGGAATTGAACTTGGGTCCTCTGGAAGAGCATCCAGTGCTCCTAACCCCTGAGCCATCTCTTCAGCCCCTTCTAAATATTGTAGCTAAAGTTTTCCTGCCTGGCCCACAGTCAGGACAAATCTCTCTCACCCGCCAGTCCCACAGCCAGCCACTCAGACCCAACCAAGTAAACACAGAGTCTTATATTGGTTACAAACTGTATGACCGTGGCAGGCTTCTTGCTAACTGTTCTTACAGCTTAAATTAATCCATTTCTATTAATCTATACCTTGCCACGTGGCTTGTGGCTTACCGGTACTTTACATCTTCCTTGTCCTGATGGCGGCTGGCAGTGTCTCTCTCACCCAGCTTTCTGTTCTCTCAATTCTCCTCTCTGTTAGTCCCGCCTATACTTCCTGCCTGGCCACTGACCAATCAGTGATTTATTCATTGACCAATCAGCAACACATTTGACATACACACCATCCCACAGCACTTCACCTTTTCTTTTCTTGAAAAGGAAGGTTTTAACCTTTACACGTCTCCAAAGTCAGCTTGGTATATTTGGGAATTTGGGTGTAGCTTCTCTTACTACTTCCTGCTGGAGGGGGGCGCTGTATCTTCTGGGGAAACAAAGAAAATTTTAGGATCATGGAGTAGTCCGTGAGGCTGTATCATCTGAGCCAGTTGCCTTGAAACCTTTCAGGGGGTCTTGGCTGGTCAAACCTGATGTATCTTAATCTGGAACAAATCCATAGCCTCTGGCTTTCTGTGGGAACAAAAGCAGAATCTCCTTTCCAAAGCAACATATCCTTACATCCAAATTTTGAAGTCAAGGTACCTTTAAAATATACATTTTGGCATAACTCAATAGCTTTTACAATCAAATATTTTTCTGTAGTTAAAAATCCCAAAGACAACACAATCCAGATTTTCTGTGTAATATTCATCTTCACGTGGCTTATTTTTTATATTAATTTTAGTGTCTCTTTAAAGACTTTATATTTTAAAACCATGTATTTGTTTGTATAACTGTATATATCATCTTTTTTGTCTCTTTCAAGCCTGCGTATATTTTACACACATTTTAAACTATTACATCTGAATCTGTCTTATTGTGAATCTATTGCTTTAAGCTGCAGCAGCTGTGGCTGCTGGCTCCGCCCACCTCAGCTTTCCAACATGGCCGTGGTACTTTACCACCAGCTCTGGGAGCTATCGTGGGTCTATGCTTTTATCCAAGCAGCGTGTAGCCCAGAAACCTCTTTTTTTGTTTTGTACTAGCAAAGTCTAAATCCACCATGCAGCTTAATGTGCCATTTGCAGAGGCCTCATTCCCGCCATAGGCAGGTCGAGCGCGCACACTAGGAACCTGCCAGTAGCTCAAACCGGCAGCTGCCGCTCATTTGAGAGAGACAATTAGGAAGCTGTTTTTAGCTCCATTTTAGAATCTTTTTTTTCAGTTTTTAGGTGGAAACTCTTGCCCCATGTTGGGTGCCATTTGTAGCTAAAGTTTTCCTGCCTGGCCCACAGTCAGGACAAATCTCTCTCACCCGCCAGTCCCACAGCCAGCCACTCAGACCCAACCAAGTAAACACAGAGTCTTATATTGGTTACAAACTGTATGGCCATGGCAGGCTTCTTGCTAACTGTTCTTACAGCTTAAATTAATCCATTTCCATTAATCTATACCTTGCCACATGGCTCGTGGCTTACCGGCATCTTCACATGCTGTTTCTCATCATGGCGGCTGGCAGTGTCTCTCTCACTCAGCCTTCCTTCCCAGCTCTATTCTCCTCCTTGTCCCGCCTATACTTCCTGCCTGGCCATGGGCCAATCAGTGATTTATTTATTGACCAATCAGCAACACATTTGACATACACACCATCCCACAGCAAAATATTCTTAAACATTTGTATTCTTTTAAAGAATTATCCAGAGTTCCAAACATTAAAACGTGTACAATGTCTCACTTTTATTTTTGAGATAGGATCTCCCTACATAGCCTTGGCTAGTCTGGAACTGGCTGTGGTCCAAGCTGACTTTGAACTCATATAGACCTACCTGTCTCTTCCTCCGGAATGCTGGGATTAAAGGCATGGGCCACCATGCTTAAAAGTAAGCATATTTCAACTTAACTCCTTTAATAAGTGTTTACTAAAAACTTGCAAAAACCAACCAGGATGTAGTGGGTAGCCATTCCAGCTTTGATCTGGAAGTTCCAACCCCCATTGAGACTTCGGCAACTGTCACGCCTACAAGGCGGGGCGAAAGGAGGCGCCTGGGGACCTGAGATCTGGATCGGCGGGCTCGCTCTCTGTTGCGGGACCTTGGACTGGAGAGGTGTACCAAGCAGAGCTCCAGAGAACACCGCTGGACTGCGATACACCTTCCCCAGACTCCGCGACCTACCTATCCCTTAATTTGTAAGTTACGCCATTAAATAAATCTCCTTTTATCTACGTGGAGTGGCCTTAATAATTTCACCAATATCTGGCGCCCAACGTGGGGCCCGAACCCACGACCCTGAGATTAAGAGTCTCATGCTCTACCGACTGAGCTAGCCGGGCAACCCATTACTCTAAGACTTGCTGCAGAACCTACAGTAGTCTAACTGAGATTTAACTATCTGAGCTTTCTCACAGTACCCAACAGAGATAACATCACCCCCTAAACAGCAGGAAGTAATTCTAAGAAAACGACGCCCCTTCTCCCTTAGGTTTCATAATTCTCAGGGTTATGGATGATGGTTATAGGGTTGGGGGTGGAAGGAAATATTAAACTCAGTATTCTAAAAAAAAAAAAAAATGAAAAGAAGAAATGGAATGGATAGGTATAAGGTATTATGGTAGATTATTATGTATACTAGTAAACAAATTTAGTAAAATAGCAGCCTTAAATAATTTGCACTGTAATTTGCACTGTTATTGATTCTTATATGTTGATACAAATGTAAACTATTTTTATATTCCTGTTTAAGATAATTTGTATATTGATACAAATACAGAACTATATTTGTTATAATGTACATATATTTCTACTCTTATTTGAAATACTTGTATATTGATACAAATGTAAATTTATGTCTGTCATACTTTATGTAGGTTCTACTTCTGTTTAGGATATTCGGTATATTGATATATATTTAAGATTATTGTCATATTGCATATCGCACTATATACTCCTACCTCTGTTATATCTTGTGTATTGTCACAATTTTGAAGTCATCGTTCTTTACCATACACTCGCTTATAGACTGTTTACCTTGTTTACGTGAAGCCTTAGTCCTTAGGTTATTTCGGTAGATAAGACTTATAGATTTATAGTCACCTATGCTTGTCATCTCTATAGTTACCTTAGTTAGGTTATCCAGATTTACAGATACATAGGTCAGATGGACAGGTAATCTTCAAACACTTCATAGACCTAGAGAATATGGCATTTAAATAACTTAGAATTCTGTTGATGTGAGACATAATTGCTCCTGGCTGCACCAATTTGATCCTGAGAGAATGTTGGGCTTCTAAGACATTTCCATTTGGAAGTTTGTCTTCTTGGCACAAAATGGCCTACTGGGCAAAGAACTGCCCTTGCCTCGACGGCTGACAGTACTAATGCAATGCTATCCTTTCTGGACAAGCGGGACACAAGGAAAGCGACCACTGTACTCTGCCAAGACAGGGTAAGATGGTCTTTCAGAATTCCTGCTTCTGAAAATGGTCTGTCAGATACTTTAGGCCTGTAGCCAATTTGAATGCACCAACAATGCTGAGAAACATTAGGTGACTGTCCAGGCTGCCAGCTGTCTCCATCTACTCTCGCAAGATTCCCGAAAGTTGCTTGCATCCATCTACCATTTCTCAGGTACCATTATATTCCTTCTCAGGTCTTTGATGGGATTGAAGACTAGCAGTTATAGTTACAACCTAGTAGATAGAACATATTAAGTATTAGATTCAGGTTCTTTAGGATAGGACACCTTTTGGAATGATCTTTGTAACATGCCATTTACCTATGCTCTATACTTCTCTGGATTATAGTATGTGTTTCTTGCTTGATATTGTTTGCATTGGTTGTAGTTCCATCTTATCTAGGTCATTATCCCTCATTATTCCTGGACTATATTTGATAACCATTCCTTTGTATATAGTCTTGTATTAGGTTAGAACTTTCTTATTTAGACAAAAAGGGGGAGATGTAGTGGGTAGCCATTCCAGCTTTGATCTGGAAGTTCCAACCCCCATTGAGACTTCGGCAACTGTCACGCCTACAAGGCGGGGCGAAAGGAGGCGCCTGGGGACCTGAGATCTGGATCGGCGGGCTCGCTCTCTGTTGCGGGACCTTGGACTGGAGAGGTGTACCAAGCAGAGCTCCAGAGA